TTCTTGACACTTAATTTTCTTCTCAAAATCTCCTTATATTTTTTACAATGATCTTGTACTAGTGATAGGATTTTTACCACATGCAAAAATAGGGATAAAAACACTTGAAAATACTTGCAAGAGAACAAGGTAATTGTAGTATAAACGGCTCAAGTAAGGTTGTTTCCACAAGGATTGAATGAATAATTTGTATTTAAACTAATCCTTAATTAATTATTTGAAAACAAAGTTTGGAAAATGTTGATTTTATGACCTAAAATATTAAAAACGAATTTTAAATTAAAACAATTAAAGAAATTAGCAAAGTAAATAAAACAAAAATAAACGTTTTGAAAACCAAATTATAGTTGTGAAAGCCAAGGGTTTCGCCATGACCTTAACAATCCTATGTAATTTTAGCAATTACTTATGAATTATACATGCAACTTTGAAGGTTAGATTTTCCTAATGCATATTCTTCTCGTGATATTTAAGCAAGAACGTATATCTAACAAGCAACCCGTCTGTGATATTCAGATCAAAATGAACATGCAAGACTCATTAAGCTTTGTGAAAACCCTTTGAAAAACCATGTAACCCCTAAGAGGGTTATATTCGCCTTAGGTGAAATTTCAATTATCAATCACAAGAAGCAATACTCAATCCTCCGGTGATATTCTAACCGAATTGCATCCAATTACTTATCTAAACATCCTAATAGTAGCTAAGCATTAAGATATAGAGACAGATTAAGCATAGTGATTAATAATTCAAAGTAAACATGCATAGTATCATAAGCAATTAAATAAAAACTACATATTCATGATAAAGCTTGTGGCCTTGCCCTAGCAAACCGAAATTAGTTAGGGAATAAAACAAAAGGGATTTTATTGAAATAGAAAAAAGGATAGAAAACACCATAAAAGAAAATATAAATTGTCAAACCCTAGCCAAGTTCTCCAAATTGATGTGTTCCTCCTTCTAATGGCTAAATAGCCTTATTTATACTAATGCAAAATAAAACCCTACCTAGAAAAGGTCTTAGAATAAAATTAGGAAAGAAAATAAAATAATAAAACAACAAATAAAATGTTTCCTATTTGAACTGAAATTCGAACTTCTCAGAAAATCAGACTTTTGACCGACCAAATCAACTCCGATTTGGTCCCAAAAGGTCTTCTTTTTTTGAAAAAAAGCTTGATATGTCCCTAACAAATCATCAGAAGGAATCTTCCTCAAAATATGTCATCTTGACCTCCAAAATACCCAAAACATCCAAAAACATCAATCTGGAAAAATTGTGCGCTGGGCTTTTATTTCATTGCCACAGTCAAACGGCTTGGTAGAAAAATTTGAAACTTTGCTACAATCAACTTGAAAGACTCACGAACATCCTCCAATTGGAATCACTCCAAAATTCGTCAATTTAATCACTTTTTACTTAAGAGGAAATAAAACGTCCTACATTAGGAATAAAATTCAAAGTATCAAAATCTCACCAAAATAACCAATTAATACTAAGAATGGGATAAATTATATGGTATAATATTGACTCGTCATAGCCATTTACAAATCTCAAATTTTTTGACTAAAGGGGACATTTTTATTCATTTAAGGGGTAAAAGATTACAATCAAATGAAGACTATGATATCAAGAGGACATGAAAGCAAAAGAATTTGAAGATACAAAAACAATGATCACAAATGTTGCAAGAACATGAAAGATGAGGTAGATCATGTGTTGATAATTACTGTCAAAACAATTAATAGTGGGACAGAAAAAAGTTCCATGTTTCAATGGACATTGTGCATAAGGACATAGCGGCTCTAAATCACCTCGTGATTTGACGATACCATTTAATAATAATCTAACGAACTCAAACAACACATCTCCAATATTCTGGTGTAGACACTACCAAATTGACCTCATACGAGCAAACTCCTCTACAACATATAACAAGACCACAAAAACTCGCGGAAAAGCAAGATTGTAAAACATAAACAACTCTTATTAAGTTTCCGTAATTATTATAAACACAAACTAAATCCGACAAGATTCACAAGTTAGCTCCAGCTTCATGGCACAAAGTTAGCCAACACCACTGACAAATTCACAACCTCTTGAGAGAACCACCAGTTTGCTCGACCTCACGCTAATCAAGCAAGGAAGATATATCCACCGTGCAGCTAAACCAAATGTAGATTCTACAGAAGAATCAAGCAAACCTTCCTAATTAAAAAGCAGGGCACACAAATCTAACACAACAATGACAAAAACAAGAACATCTGCAGAGAGGTTCTAGATGTTGTAGGCACGCTCAATTTTCAACATACAGGAGTAATTTCAACATGTAGGAGTAACAGATCATATTCTACTTTAAAAAAAAGTAATGATACACACAAACTATTTTTCACATCTCACACACTCCTGTTTGTTACATTCGTTGATTCCGTTTTGATTTTTTCAATCTAAAAACTATAAATAAATTAAAATTTTGTAGAAAAGTGTGTGAAAATCAGCTCTATTTACTCTACAAAATTGGCAACAACCATGTTAATACCACATCAAGTAATATAAGAAAGAAAAAAAAAAAGAAGGTGTTATTCACGCATCCATTTTTACCTCTCACACCCTTGTTAGCTTTTTTTTGCCATTGATCTTCTACAATTTATTCAATCTTAAGGCTAAATTTTGAGAAGAATGTGTAAAAAATAAAAATGGGCGTGTTGATAGCACTATCATAAAAAGAATAGAATAATACTTGGTGCCCTTATTACTACTCAATAACGGAAGTTCTAAAATTGTGTTATAAGCATTTTATTGGGCAATTACAAATACATTGCTTTTTATTTCTTCACACACCTCTATGTTAATTATGGTCGTTATTTCTATCTTCTTTATTCAACTTGATGGATAAAGAAAAAGAAGGGTGCATAGAATTAGAGAAATAAGGTTGCGGTTATCATTTCTCCACTTCGTATTACTTATCTATTTTTATCTCAAAAGTATTGAAATGTTACAATATATATTGATAAGTAGATTGCATATCTTTAAAAATAAAAAAATAAAAAATGGATTTACCAAATAAGATAGAGATAATTGACACAATTTCAAGTAAATCACCGTTAGTTGTTAGGAAAAAGACAAATTAGTAGAGATTGATTTCGCATCGAAGCACATAAATATAATTAATATCCATCACTGCGGTAAAGCGTCGTTTTTTTTTTCACAAAAAAAAAACCTTATATATAGCATTGGGTTATCTCGACCATAAATTTTGGTTGCATACCAAGAAACATTAAAATCAAATGATGGTAGGATTTGAGGACACATGACCCTTATAAAACTAACAATCTATAAGAGGGTCCAAAGAAAATAATTATAGAACCGTTTCCTTGCTCCTGTCTAGCGTCCCCTAAACAGAGGGCCCCTTATTGTGATTAGATTGTCCGGATTGACAAATCATCTACAATATTATGGATGTGAATCAATTACTAAATTAATATCAAACTCGTTATTTATTAAAATTAAATTTAAGACCTTTAATCTACACATAAAAAAAAATATTAATAAATCGTAATACTAATTCATTACGATTATAAAGCATATGACTACAATATTAGGTCTCATTTAGTGATACTATTGCAAAATATAACTGTTGATTTTCCGAACCACTTAGCATTAACACAAATTGTAAAAGCTGGGGTAACATGGCCGCTGCATGCTGAGCAATTGGCCGCACGAAGAGCCACGCACCACTGCTATTGAATATTTGAATTTGAAGGAGATGCTGTGATTGCCCTTGCTGCTTTGGAGTAATCTGATCTGATGAAGATACCTAACCTATGGGACCTGTACGTTATTGTATGCACGTTATACTTTTACTAGGCTGCGAGTACAGGCCATTGGTTCGAGGAACCTTTCCACTTGATTGTTGACTTCATTTATTTTTTTTTATTATTGAGGTAAATTGTTGACTTGATATTAGAAGATAGAAATAATTTGTAATTTTAGTGGAATGTGAAGATGTGAAGGTAAAACAGTCTTACATTTGTTAAGGAGAAATTTTATGTTGTTCATGTGTTTGATTTAAAAATTTGCTGCCGTGAGGGGCGTGCAAAGATTTGAAGGTAAAAAAGAAGCCGCCTTCTTTTTTTATCAATTGCAATTTGTCAGTCGAACTAGTAACCGTTTCCCATAAGTGCGATGGATTTCGAAGGGATTTTCATTCTCCTTTCCGCTTGTACAATCGGGAATAGGTCTGAGGTCTCCACAAAGAAGAACGTAGGCAACGGAAATGCGAAGGAGAAGAGCAAAGATTCCTGACCCAGAGCATGTTATTGACTCAACCACAAATCTTCCGCATCATTCCAAGGAGAAATCTTTCAAGGATTATAAGGGATTGAGCTAGTCCCTATATTGCTAATTGCTTTTATGATGGAACCTCAATTTCTTTAGTGTACACTATTTTCCCTTTGACCAATTCACATTTACGTTAAAGTTTTTATCGAACCTCATATAAAAACACCATATCCTTCTTTGTACTTGTTAATTCACCATATCAATGAACATGACACTCCAAAGTTCTTATTTTTCAGTGTCAATAACAGTTCCCTAAGAAATTTACATATCTGTTTTGCAATATACATATTTATACAAGTAAAGTAAAGCAGGCAATGTTGAATTACATATACAAATATGTACATAATACATATACCAGTATTCATGAAAAAAATTCCGAAGAGCGATGACTAATTAAAAACTGGAAAGATTAGCTCGAGTACAAGAACAATTAGAAATTAAGATTGATAGATAAACTTCAAACCAACGGAGAATTTGTTGGTAATGACAGAGAATTTGGTTGAAATTTAATCCATGATGCGTATAAAACTTAACTACACCATGAGAGAATATCCATAATATGTATATAGTTATTTACAGCAGAATTAATTTGTTATCACCACAACAAAAAGAAATGTAAGGATCTGAAGAGAAGATAAAACGTGAAGACGAACAAACATTAATAAGCTAAAATAGAATAAAATTTGATATTCAGACAATGTTGTACAATAGACAGATCTTGATTCATTCAAAGAACTTAATTTTATATATATATATATATATATATATATATATTGTAATATCGCAGAGGAAATTAAGCAAAACTAACAATTGTAGCTAGTTGCAGTACGAGCTACCTTATATCATGAGTATCCATCAGGAGTCACCACGTTCATGCCAGCAGAGAAGCATAGCTATGCAACGCCGAAAGATGTAGAACTTAGTCCGTTGCTTCTTCACCAGATGGCTGCACTTTTTTCCGAAGGGTCGGCGGCACCCGGATTTATCACACTCCCCATTGACATTATGATTGAAGCTTGCAGACGTAGCAGTAGTCGTACTAGTAGTACTGTCGCTTTCCCTGATTGCCGATGCCATATTGAACTTTGAAAGGTCTGATCACTCTCACCAGCTTCTGCTAGGTTGCTAGTAGTCCCACTGGAAGCAGTAAATATATGTCTATATGATAGGTAGATATATCATACACGGTGATGACAAGGCGTGTGCTTCTTGTATTTATATCTTTAAACTTTATATATGTTCATCAAATGATGTGATAGTTTCTTTTTAATTCAAAGTTGGGCGTATATTTGTTCATCAAATGGCGCTGAATAAATTTTATTTTTGTTACTTTGCTCTTAATTTAAAAGGAGTCGTATAAAGATTTTATAGAAAAATTACATTTTGAATTATGTGTAAATACTTTTTACAAGTTATTTATAATTATAAGTTAGACTTTTATAGAAAAATTACAGTTTGAATTATGTGTAAATAATTTTTACAAGTTATTTATAATTATAAGTTAGACTGTAATTTATAAATCTTGAGAAATGATTCTCTTCAAGTAACTAACACAAAAAAATAGTAAATAAATTTGATAACTCTAGCATGCATGATTACTTTTGTATTAAAGACGTGGGATTGGGAATTGGGGGGGCCTGGGTGGATGTACAAGAAATTTTTTTTATCTGGGTTGGATATGAACTGTGAACACTGCATTCCACCAACTGTCAGGAGACATAGCATATGAAACATAGAATGGGCCAGTTTTCCTGATATGTTCTGAAAATACATTTAAACATGACCCCACTTCAAGTCCTCTCTCATAAATAATGGAATCCACTTCTGCGCACATTTTTAATATTTCACACTCGTGTTTATATATTTCTCTTAATTTATCTTTTTGATATATACTAATTAGGATTGCGGTATAATAAAATTTCTCTTTATTTATAAGTAACAAACTTTAAGTTTGACTTACATATACAGTGGTGATATATTGTATTCATATTGAGGTTGATATATAACTAGGTAGTCAGTGGATGAGCCATTGTAAAGCCTACATCAATTCTCTCTTCGTAGAGTAAATTATCCCTCTACAATACATTGAAATTTTTATTTTTAATATTTATTTATTGTAAGCAAAAAACCTAGAAGTAAACAAGGGAGTGCATGGGATTTTATAAATATGTTGCATGCGAAGCCAAAAATTAGCTTAAGTTGCATGCTCTTTCTTATAGTTTGTTATTGTTTATCACCCTCAACCTATAAGTTGCTTCGTCACTAGGTTCATAGTTCGATCCTCTTCAATGAAACAGAAAATAAAATGGCCACGCAATTTTCACTTTCATGTCATGTACCAAAACATGAAAATAAAGTTAAAGCAAACCATGTATAAGAAGTGATTTCTTCTCACGATGAATAACACAGTTATGTTATACACCTAACAGAAAATGCGATTAGAGTGATTGAAACATGCTTTTATGAATTTTATGTATTTAAATCAAGTAGGTAACAGGTATGCTAAGATGATGACACTTGTCAATGTGTAATGGATTGAGTTAGTTGTGATTGTAATTAGTTAGAGGGCAATATAGACATTTGCAGTTGGAAGAATGGTTAGTATATAACCAAAGTGTAAGAGTCATTTGGTATTCAATACAATAAATCTAAAGCTTTACTTCCTCTCTCTCTCTCTCTCTCTCTAAACTTTCTTTTTCTGCTTATTTTCTTATGTTCATTCGCATAGCTCTATTGAATTATTATGATGGTATCATCGCCGAAACGGTTCATCACCATTCCGATCCTTAGAGCTCTTCCACTACTCTGATAATTTTTCCGTTACAGATTTTCCGTTCGCGATCTCTGGAATCAAAGGTCGGTTGCCATATGGGTCTTGTGAAGAAGTTTTGGGGATTCTCTGGGTTCCTAAAGGTCCTTGCACTCATTGACTTAGGTGACATTGTTTCTTTCATACTCTACAATTCAGCTTTCTGTTCGTAATTCAGTATGGGATTTTGTTGTATATTGAGTAATTGATATATGCAATTGTGATTGAATTTGGAGATGTGTGATTCTGCAAATAGTTGAATGATTTGGGAATTTGTTCGAATTTTTATGTTTTTGAATTCAGACTGCAATTTTGTTAAGAAAGTGTCATTCTTTCTTGAAGATTAAGAAAGTGTCATTTTTTCTTGAAGTTGTTATCTTTGTGTGTCGAATAGTTGAATGATTTGGGAGTTTTGTTAGAATTTTCATTGTTCTTGAATTCAGACTGTAGTGCTGTCAAGAAAGTTTCATTCTTTCGTGAAGATTAAGAAGGTGTCAGTCTTTCTTGAAGTTGTTGTTTTAGTGTGTTGAAGAGAAAGTGTTATTCTAATTGAAGTAAAATCTTGGAATGTCATTTTAAGAGATTGGTGAGAATGTCTAGTTCAGTAGTCAAGGTGGAGAATTTGTTAGGTATGATTATAATAAAGCTGAAAGATGATAATTTCTCGAAGTGGGCTTTTCAATTTATGGCTGTTTTGAAAGGTCACAGGCTATTTGGCCATTTTGATGCTACTACTGTGTGTCCATCAAGATATGTAATCAATACAGAAACTAGGGTAACTAAAGAAATAACACAAACTTTTCTTGATTGGGAATCGACAGATATGACTTTACTTAGCCTGCTACTAGCAACATTATCTAATGAAGCCATGGAATATGTGCTTGGATGTAAAACTGCAAATGAAGCTTGGTCTAATATGGTTGATAGGTGTGCGTCTGTGTCCAAATCAAGGGTAAATCATCGACAGACATAGCTTCATACTATTAAAAAAAGGTCTGATTATATTGATAAGTACTTGTAGAGATTGAAAAGTATAAGAGAACAACTCAATGCTGCAAAGGAGTTTGTATCTGACAATGATGTAATGATAACTAGGCTAGCTGGTTTACTAAAAGAGTACGTTATTAAAGGACTGTTCTCTTAGCAAGAGAATCATCAGTTACTCTGAAAGAATTTAGGGCTCAACTTCTTGGGGCCAAGAAGGAACTTGAAGAGAACTTGGCATTGTTTCCACATAATGTGTTTACACTTTATGGTCAGGGTTCTAATTCTGCAAATACTTCTATTGGGTCTTCTGGTTCATCTTTAAATCCTCAAGGGCACAGTCACATTCTTCCTATAACTACAAGGGTCATCACTCCTGGTGCTTACAATTACAATTCTATGCCGGTTTCAATTCCTCAAGTTCAAATGCCATTTCCTCCTGAAGCTTATGTTCTTCCTGGTTTTGTACCAATTCAACCAACTCCATTTTTTCATCAAATGTCATATGGTTATGGCTTTGTTACGGGAAATAACAATAATTCTGGTCCAAGATTTCCTACAAACGGGCCTCACTCTGGATCTACATATAAAGGAAATAAAAAATTCAAAAATATTGGTGGCTACAAAGGAAAAGGGTTTAATTCTGGTGGATTTAAGGGCAATAAAGGTAGTACTTGGTCTGGCAACACTCAGAGTAGAACTAATGTTGTTATTGAGTGTCAGATTTGTAACAAAATGGGTCATACAAAAGTCAATTGCTTTCAAAGGAACAATGGTTCTTCCTCTTAAGGATTTATGCTGGAATGTCAAATATGTGGAAAACGAAGGCACTCAACTATGGAGTGTTTTCACATGGGCAATTACTCCTATCAAGGACAGCCACCACCTCCTTCTCTAAATGCCATGTCAGCACATCAAACACCACAATTCATCCAAATGATTCTTGGATTGTGGACACTGGCGCATCTCACCATATAACTGCAGACATTAATTCCTTAACTCAAGTACAACCATTTGAAGGTTCTAACAAGATTATTATTGGCAATGGCTCTGAATTGTCAATAAAAAATATTGAATATACTTATCTTAACACAAATTCTCATTCTCTTGTCATAAAGAATGTATTATATGTGCCTAAAATTGCTAGGAGTCTGCTATCTGTTAAACAATTGTGTGCTGATAATGCAAGCTAGTTCATTTGTGATGAAACTTGATTCTTTGTGCAAGACAAGAAGACACTGGAGATATTGTATCAAGGAAAGAGTAGGCCACAAAAGTTGTTTCATATACCAATTATTCATCAGTCTCAGAGGCTGCAGTCAGTTTATTAGAATTCAGGTGCTTTTCTTGGTCAGCTAGTCAAGTCAAATGTATGGCATTAAAGGTTGGGGCATCCATCACATGAAGTAATGTCCAGAATGTTAAAACAATCACATGTAACAGTGTCTATAGATAAAAATCATAGTGTCTGTACCCCTTGTTTGAAAGGAAAAATGTCCAGAATTCCATTTCCTTCTAGAGTTACTCATTGTTTGATTCCTTTTGGAAAAATACACTCAGATATTTGGGGTTCATCACCTGTAAAATCTCTAGAAGGGTACAGATATTATGTAACACTTGTGGATGAATATACAAGATTTGTTTGGATATATCCTCTATGCAATAAGTCTGATGTGTTTACAATTTTTTGTGCAATTCTATAATGTGATAGTTACTCAGTTTGACATGAGAATCAAATGCTTTCAGAGTGATGGTGGAGGAGAGTACACAAGCAACTCTTTTACTGCATTTCTGAAATCTAAAGGAATACCACAAATGATCTCTTGTCCTTATACCCCCTTAGCAAAATGGAATTGCTGAGAGGAAACACAGACATATAATTGAGACTATTATCACATTGTTGACAACTGCTGGTTTATCTCTTGAATTATGGTATTTAGCTTGTGCTCATTATGTGTTCCTTATAAATAGAATGTTGTGTCAATCTTTATCAATGAAGTCTCCATACAAGTTGCTATATGACAAATTTCCAGATTTGACTACATTAAAAATTTTTGGTAGTGTGGTTTATCCTTGGCTTCAACCATATAATTCAAATAAATTGCAAGTGAGAACTGAAAAATGTGTATTCCTGGGATACTCTATGGGATATAAAGGTGTCATTTGTTATATATAAGTACCAGAAAGTGTATTATATCAAGACATGTGATTTTTGATGAAATTGTATTTCCATTTCTTCAAAAACAGTATAATGCAACAGTGAGATAGTTTATGCTAAGTTCAATAGTACCATCCACTGTAGTTATTCCAATTCTAATTTCTAATCATACAGTGAATGTAGATGCTCACACTAACTCAGGGACAAGATCAACTCACTCAGTGAATGAATTTGATAGCAGTTCTTCATCCCTTGGTAATAATAGGAATTCCACTATGAGAAGTCAAAGTACAACTGTATAACAGACTTCTTCAGGCCATACTATTT